CGCGTCGCCGCCGCTATCGGCGACCGTTCCTCGCGCCTGAAATTCGGCCCCTGAGCGAGGCTCACTCGCCCCCTGGAGTTGGAGTGTTCGGTCCCCGCTGGCCGCGAGGCCGAGAGGAAGTGCTGGCTTTCCCCACCGGGTCATGGAGAAGCCGGGTGGTAATGAATTACTCTTTAGAAGTAAATTTGAAATTTAAACAAGGGACCTGTAGCCCTAACCGGTTTGGCTCAGTGGATGGAGCGTCGGCCTGCGGACTGAAGGGTCTCGGGTTCGATTCCGGTCAAGGGCATGAACCTTGGTTGCGGGCACATCCCCAGTGGGGGGCGTGCAGGAGGCAGCTGATTGATGTTTCTCTCTCATCGATGTTTCTAACTCTCTATCCCTTCCCGCTCCCTTCCTCTCTGTAAGAAAAAAGAAAAAGAAAAAAGGGACCTGTAAAACACAGTCACTCTGTTTTGTGGATGGGAGGCCAGCATCCTTGAGGATTGGTTTTTGGCCAGGATTTCAGGGAGGATGGGTGGGTTGCAGTTTCTAGGAGCCACCTCGAAGGGCCTCTAAGTGTCACTGCTGCAGGGGTCACATGGACCACAATCCTGCGGACCGCGACCCGGTAAAGGTCAGCGTGAGCTCCTGCAGGTGCCCGGGGAGCCCTGGGAGGAGAACCTGCCCCGCATCGCGCAGGACTGTTTTACCCAAAAGGTGCTGCAGTCAGGGTCCTGGAAGAAAAACGTTCCCTTGAAAATAAAACCGCAAAGTGGAAATGACCTACTGATACTCAAATATCTGCAAAGTGTGACGCGATGGCATTTTATTTCAGCCAGACTCAGTACAGTATTTTCAGATTTTATTACATTCACATTAGAACGTTTTTGCAAAAATTCCTGACTGTAAAGGTTGATAGCTGAGAAACTAAAGCCGGTGGTAAGTTATGTGAATTTTTCATAGCTCAATGATTACACGAGCAACATGTTAAATATTTTTTTTTTTTTTGGTGGGGGTCATTTATGTTGAACAGCAGATGTGGATGCATTTTTATGTTTTTGATCTGGTATGAGAGGGACCATACAAGTACATAGAGAGATCTTGAGTGCTGATGTTCCCCTCTTCTGAGAAGGGAATAGAACACTAACACTTTAGGATTCAGTTCAGGATGTCCTAATTATCACCCTTGATTTATTGGGATTTCCAAAAGCGGATGAATTGACAACCTCTCCCGTGTAGGCATCGGTCAGGAAACGGCGACTACGTTTGTTCAGCTCTCTGCTTCCCCATTCTAATGAGACAGCAGAAGGAATCTAAAAATACAGAAAACCCGTCCTGGGCTCTGGGAGCTGGTGAAGGATGGTGGTCACACGTCAGAAATACCGAGTTTCTGCTGGCTGTTAACAGTTCATTGAATCCAAAGGAGTAACCTGCCTCTCATCCTTTATCTAAAAGAACAGATTTTTGGGAAAGCTCTTGAGCGAACCTCACAAACAACCTGAGCACTTGTAATCCTTGGCGTTGAAGTTTGCCGGTGATTGCGACCATGTTTGTACTTGTAGAAGCCATTCTAGCAGGGGTCTTCCAGGAATCCTTTTCCCCGTGGGAATGCTCTGTTGGACAAAGGGACTGTCGTAAGGGTTCATTAGATCTTCATGTCAGTAGAGTGAGGCGCTGGCATTCCTTACGTGGAAGAGAAACTGGAAAAATAAAATCACAATAAGTTTAAACTCTTCCTACGTCCCTTTATCTGGGCCTAATTGACATTGAATAGGTTAAGAGGTAAATCAAAATAAATAACCTTTTGTTTCTTTATTATAGTGATTTAATATAATTTGATTAATTCATATTTGTCAGACTGTTTCTAAGAACTAGAATCTTCTTTTTCTCAGCCTGTAGATATAAACATGCAATTTTGCTTTACAGTGAACAGAAAATCACTGGTAAAATAATTAATACAAATTCATCCTATAGAATGTATTTTACTTGAAATTTTCAGTGTCTTCAATATAAAAAGTAAACAATAATAAGTGAGAGATTAGAGAGCTACACGATTTATCCTTGTGTATTTAGATGTGTATGGAATACCTGTATCTGTTAGTGAAAGTTATTTACTATAATGGTGTGGGGGGGACAGATATTACACATTTGGGCCCTCCACCTCGAACTTTTCTTCAGCTACCCTTCCCACTGCATGCATCCATCAACATGGCTAACTTTTTTAAAAAATAATATATTTTTATTGATTTCAGAGAGGAAGGGAGAGGGGAGAGAGAGAAACATCAATGATGAGAGAGAATCATTGATCGTCTGGCTCCTGCACGCCCCCTATTGGGGATCAAGCCCACAACCCCGGGCATGTGCCCTTGACCCTTCAGTCCTCAGGCCGATGCTCTATCCACTGAGCCAAACCAGCTAGGCAGGGCTAACTTTTAATCCGTATATTTTTACGTTCTGTAATTTCTTAATTAGCTTGTCTTATTACTAATATCTGACATTCTTAGAACTATTGTGTGATCAGTAAGATTTCTATAAGAAATACTGCTTTAAACAAAAATACCATGTTGGGAGGGGTGACTTATAGCCCACATTAGTGAGTGGTCACTTTATCGGATATTTAAAAGTATATTTTTAATGAACTAAGGTGAATAAAGGCACAACTAATAACAAAAAAAAAGCAGAACTAGTGTTTTAATGAAATACTCCTTAGTGTGTTGACAGTGTAAGATGTTTCTTTCCTAATGAAGTCAGAGAACTGAATTATATCATTTTCTTAGGTTTCCTCTTACTCGACCCAATCTTTGTAAAGAATGGGAGGCAGCTATCAGAAGAAAAAACTTTAAACCCACCAAGTATAGCAGTATTTGTTCGGAACACTTTACTCCAGATTGCTTTAAGAGGGAGTGCAACAACAAGTTACTGAAAGAGAATGCTGTACCCACAATATTTCTTTGTACTGAACCACGTGACAAGGTAATGTGTGTTTTAAAATACTGGCTTCCCCCTCCCCCATTTTAAAAATTAATGTATTTATTGTGGAAAATTTGGAAAATTCAGAGTAGTCTTAAGAAAATAAATGTTACCTGGAACCTATTCCTTATAAATAATCACTGTTAACAGTAATATACTTTTAAAAAATACAAAATATAGTTTATCAAAGTTAAATATCCTCACACTAAGAAACTCAGTCAAGCTTTGTAATTTATTTTAAGATTACGCTGTACCTCCTCCACTTTGTATATTGATCAGTTTTGTTTATCAAAGTTAAATATCCTCACACTAAGAAACTCAATCAAGTTTTGTAATTTATTTTAAGATTACTCTGTACCTCCACTTTTTATATTGATCAGTTATTATTTTTTTTTAATCAATGACAGTTCAATTTCAAAGTATTTTCCCCTTCGGTTTTTAATACTCAGTAATTCATTAAATTTGATTAGTCATTCTCTTTCTTGCATCTCATTTCTACTTCAGGTAGAAAAATATAATTAAAACAAACTATTTCCTCATTTTGGAATTTTTTTTACCAGACTTCATTTTTTAAAAAGGTGTAATATTCTTAAATTCCACAGGTAAATTCTTTTAAACTGTTACTTCTAGTTATTAAATTCAAACATATTTTGCATTATTGTTTTAGAAGGAAGATCTGGAGCCACAGGAACAGCCTTCCCCACCTCCTTTAAAACCTCCCATTTCCCAGGTTGATGCTGCTATTGGATTACTAATGCCTCCTCTTCAGACCCCTGATAATCTCTCAGTTTTCTGTGATCACAACTATACTGTGGAGGATACAATGCACCAGAGAAAAAGGATTCAAGAGCTAGAACTGCAAGTCGAAAAACTCAGAAAGAAGCTCAAGACTGCACAGCAACGATGCAGAAGACAAGAACGACAGCTTGAAAAATTAAAGGAGGCCATACACTTCCAGAAAGAGAAAGACGTACCGGAGCGAGGTTTTGTGTTTCTCCCAGAAAATTACTTTGAAATAGTTGAAGTACCAGTATAGAAAGAGTGAAATTTGTATTGGTTTTTAATGGGGCAATACCACATACCCTCTTCTAGTCTATAAAGGAGTTTCATTTGAAAAAAATAGCACTTGATTACTTGTATAAAAACAATTCAGAATATTTTTTTAAATAAATTAGATATATACTATAAAATTGTTAATTCTTTTGTTTGTAATTTCGGGGTTTATACATTTTAACAAATATTTTGAAAGTTATAAACTAACCTCAGAACTCCAATATAAGTTGGTTTTAAGACTGAGGGTTTTTGTTTTTTAATTTGAGCATTTATAGAAATAATGTAAAAATGAAAAGGAAAGAGAATGAGAACAGTACAGTAAAGATGATTTAAGTTGAAAATTTAAAATTAACTTAGTTTATTGAGAGAACTTAGTTATATTTTAAATCAGAAGTATGGCTTAGCTCATAGGACATAACTTCTCAGAATATAGTGGAACCTCGTTTCTCTAACTTAATTCTATCCAGAAGGCTGTTCGAGAAGTGATTTGTTTGAAAACAGAATCAGTTTTTCCCATTAGAATTAATGTAAATTGAATTAATCCATCCCAGACCCCCAAATGATTCCCTGTTTCAACCTTTCTTATATACAGTACGTACATGGCTGATGTACAGATTAATTTATAAATAAACACTTCTTTTCTAAAATTTATGGAACCACCCCTATTAGCCTTAAAGGAATTTTTCATACATCACTGTCTCCAGAATGCTATCACCAGCTAACTTCTTTTCCTTTATTCAATCAGCAACAGTTTTCCTACCTATTCAATTGCCTGTGATTGCTGTTTTGTGAGCACTTTCACACTCTTAGCTACATTAGCACTCTTAATGGCCTCTTTTTGTATTAAAATTGTGCTAATTGCCAGCAACAAAAGCATTCTCTCCTTTGCTTGTTGCCTTTGGGAAGCTTTTTGTTATGCTGATACCTCAGCATGAAAGAGTTATTGGTCGAAAACTGAAGTTTTGGTCGACAACTGAGACATTGTTTTCTGTGAATGACTTGGTCGAGAACCAAATTGTTCTGAGATGGGAGATGGTTGAGAAACGAGGTTTGACTGTATATACTGTAATCTTATTCACACATTCTTATTTGTAAAGTTAGAAGTTTCATTTATCTTAATCATTTGTCAAAGATAAATTGACAAGTCAATACATTAAAAAAAGATCGGATATCTTAACATCAGAAAGTGAAGAATGGATTTTTTAAAAGTGGGCCCCTCTTTTGCCCTATTGTCTAGCATTATAAAATTAAAAGTGTATCTCCAGTGAAAGACACACTCTTTAACAAACAGTAAGCCTTGTTATCAGTGAAGTAATAAAAATGGGTCTGATCCATGTCAGTAGAGTTTGATTTGTACTGTAATATGGTAATTTTTTAAAAATATGTTTTTATTGATTTCAGAGAGAGGAAGAGAGAGGGATAGAGAGATAGAAACATCGATGAGAGAGAATCAGTTGCCTGCCTCCTGCACGCTTCAAGCTCACAACCCTGGCATGTGCCCTGACGGGGAATCGAACCATGACCTGGGTTCATGGGTCAATGCTCAACCACTGTACCACACTGGCCGGGCCATAATATGGTAGGTAATCTTGAACTTAACTAATTGATTTTGGTCAAGGCTTCACATAAAAAATGATTTCTTCACTTTTACCACAAATTAGAAATTATATCTCACTTAAATGATTTATATTCAAAAGCAACTTAATATGTAGTGTTTATTTTCCTGAATGTTGAGATTTAAACACTGAGGTTTCTGTTCAAACTGTGAATTGTATTCTGACTTTGTGATAAATTTTGCATATATTTGAAATGAAATATGTTCTGAGTAAAGAAATACTGCCATAGCATGTACCTACTTAGATTTAAAGTAACAGTTTCAACTGTAATTATTTTAAATTTCAAAGTACACTGAGATAGTTGAAGAATAACAGACCTTTTAAGACAGTATTAAAAATGATGTTCAAAGTGTTTTTGTAGACCTATTTTTCAGTGTAATTCACTGCAAGGCTGCCAATAGATAGTACTTTGATTCATGGAGATTTGATCTTTGATGAACCAGTATTTCAAAAACAGAACATTTTGATTCGAAGATTACTTGAAGCTATTTAGTCTGATAATATTTAGAACTAATTCTAATGAATCACAACATTTTCCAGTTGTAAAGTCTCCATTTCATCTCTCTAGCAATTCTTGGAGGATATGTGGATAAATATTTTGTTTTTATATAAATTGTTGTCTACATAAAAGAAAATTGTGTGTGTGTGTGTGTGTACACATGGGCATATGCGTGTGTATGTGCAGGCATGTGTGTGTGTCCAGAATGAAGAATCCAACATTGAATTGTAAAAGTGATGATGATAATTACTAAACATCTTAGCATTATGACTTAACCTGGAACTATTTTCTTTTCATGACAGACATAAATCCATGCTTGGAGAGAAGTGAGCAAGAAACATGTATACCAACTGTTTGCATATAAATAATATGTCATAGTTTAACATAGGGATTTTGAGGTACAGGTGCTTATTTCTGAATTTGAGATGTAACATTTGTTGAATGTTTTAAAAATTCATTTTGTCTATTATTTATAACATTGCCAAGAAAAGGATAACATTTAGGCTAAAATAGGTCCTGTTCAAACATAGTGAAACTCATTCTAAAACAGGGACAAGATTTCAATCTGAAACAAATTGGGAGAGGGCTTGTGAACTGCAGCATATTCTGAAAGGTAACATTTACTTTAGCATATAGCAACACACTAAAATAACCACCTGTGTGTGACATAATCTAGCTATAATTAATGGTGTGAAGAAATAATTGTTTCTTAATAGAACTGCTAGGAAAACAATAGAGTTTTAGAATTAGAAGGGACTTAGAAATCATTGAACACTAGCCCAACCTCTAAACCCTGGAAGAAATTTCCTTGTAAAATATTGCTGACAGTCGTCATCTGTTCTTTCATTGCCGTTTACATTTAATCAGTTCTGCTTAGATTCTTTAAATTGGGTTTTGGGATTAGGATAGAATTAGTTGCCACTATTTATACTTGTTTATAATACAAATATAAACTTCACTTTGAACTGCTGCATAGTTTGAACTGTCAAATTCTAAATTACAGAAGTTTTGAATTTTTGTAAAATAATTCAAATGTTTACTAATTGTTACACCTGTTATGTGTGCTAAAAATATTTCTGCCATTGAAGTAAAAAACAGGGTGTCTAAAATTACTAGCACAACTTTTCACTTGGAAATCCAAGAACATGAAATTATTTTCCTTTATAATTTGTGTAATCCCTTTCTTAGCAGTATAATGATAATGGTGAAGGCAAATAAAAGTTTCACTTGAATGGACGTTTTTAGGTTAAAATTCTCTGATCACTTGAGTTATCAAAAAAATTGTACACATATGCACAATACCCAACACCTATGGCTTTTATAAAACCAGTAGTAAGTGACATAAAGTAATGTATTTAAAAGTCCTCATTATCTGTAAAAGAAAACTTAATTTGTGTTTCAGAATTTTAAAAAGATAGCCAACCTTTAGTATTTAAAGGAGAAAAAGTGAACAGATGGGCTTGCTTGGTTATTACTCTCTAATATTGCGGAGTGCATTGGATGACAGTGAGTGAAAAGCGTTGCTCTTATCTGATGGTAACTTGTGTTTCTGGGCATTATGGCTTAGTACAGTTGTGTATTAAAATACAGTCCTTGATGTGAAAGAAAAATAAAGAGCAAACACTGATTTGCAGACAAACAAAAATAGCAGTTATAATCAAGCTTTAAAAATGTGTTGAGAATTTTTATTCTTTTCTAAATTCATAGTATTTTGGGTTTTGAGGTTATAAAAGTTTTATTTTAAATATCCTAAGGGATATGAATAAACTTTCATTGTTTTAAACTATTTTTGGTGAGACAAACTACAATGTTAATAAATAGACTTCTGGAATGGCTACATGAAGACCTGTGACCGGCTCCCCTCCATAACTGCCGTAACAGGTGAAAAAAATTCTTTTTTTAAAATAACCATTTAAAGTTCATGTGGTCCTAAAGGCATACAACAAATGGAACATTCAAGAAAACCCAAATCTCTGTAAGAACTTTAAGTTTGTGGCATTTATGCCACAACCTATTCTCTTCCTACATCTCCCCTCTCCCTCCCCAACCACACACATAGCTCAGTGCTGCCATAGCTCCACTCTGAGTGGGTATAGCCAAGAAGACAATGCTCCCCCTCCCCTAACAAGGATATGGTATCTTTAAGGGAGGGGCAGGCTGCCAGTATTTCTCAGGCCCCTCTAGCTTTGTGTTGCAAAGGCTAAACTCCAAGTATATGCAGCCAAGAGGTCAGGACTCCCTTTTCTCAACCAGTTCCCACTCATAGGATGGAGGCTCTACCCCAGGTACAGCTGGCCAAGAATACTGGGATTCTGAGTACCTCTTGCTGGCTTGCTTATAGGGTAAAGTTTCTGTGCCAGAAGTGCCAACCCAAGAAGCCTAGTGGCTTCCGTAATTATTGAGCTCTACTCATAAAGTTGGCATAGCAATCCTAGAGAGGCAGGCCATGATTCCCACTCCCAGCTCCAGAAGAGTGACTCACATTTTTTCCCAGAGTAGAGGCAGCCCAGAAGAATCAAGAGCTCTGAAGCTCTTCCCAAAGGAACTGATTTGGAAGAGGAAAGTTCAAGGCAGGGTGCTCTCAAAAACAGTGGCATTTAGTGGTAAGCAATTAGGAGGCAACAAGCCAAATTAACTGACAACCAGGGAGAGAGGCAAGAAAAGCCCTCCCTACGGTCATAACAAGCCTCAAAGACTAGCCTCAAATACTACCTCTCCAAAAGGGCCCAACCAACTCTAATTGGATCAGACTGCAGAGCCATTTGTGCCCCAGGGCACCATCAAAAACAGCAGTCAACTGGCAATTGGAGCTAACATGAGTGTGATGCCAATTAAGGCAGATGGGTTTAACAAAATATTCGGAGAAAGGCCTATTAAAACCTTGCCCAGGTGACTATGCGTACCCAAGGCTGCACCCTCTAAAGAATGAAATTGAAGATTTCTCAAGAAAAAAATGAAGCCAGAAGGCTGTGGGCTGATGTATTTAAAGGGTTAAAAGAAAAACAACAGCAACCTGTACATCAAGAATGCAGTATCTTGCAAAACTGCCCTTCACACTTGAGAGAGACATCTTACCATTGTAATTAGCTAATCTACACTAATAAAAGAGAAACATGGTAATTGGTGTACGGCCGCTACCCTTTTCGTTGGCTAATCAATGAGTATATGCAAATTAACTGTCAGCCAAGATGGCGGCCGGCAGCCAGGCACTGAAGCGAGCACGAGGCTTGCTTGCTGCGGACTCCAACGTTCGCTGCCTCACTTGCCAGCCTCTCAGCTGCAAGTCTAAGCAACTATATACTATGTTGCAAATAAGAAGGTAAACAAACCGCCAGAAACCAGCCGGACTGAAACCCAGC